ACATGAAGAAATGTTCAAATACCCTAGCTCTAAGAGAGATGCAAATTAAAACAACTATGAGATATCATCTCACTCCAGTCAGAATAGCAAAATTTAATAGAACAGCAAGCAACAAATGCTGGTGAGGATGTGGAGAAACTGGAACCCTTATTCACTGTTGGTGGGAGTGTAAAATGGTGCAACCACTGTGGAAGGCGGTATGGCACTTTCTCAAAAAGTTGCAAATAGAGATACCATTTGATACCCCAAAGAGACCATAACTGACATCCAAGCAGATATATGCACAACTATGTTTATTGCATCTTTGTTCACAATAGCAAGGAGTTGGAAACAAGAAATTTGGATGCACACTCATGTTTGTTGCAGCTTTGTTCGCAATAGCAAAGAGCTGGAAACAACCCAAGTGCCCATCAACAAATGAATGGATAGAGAAGCAGTGGTATATTCATACAATGGAATATACTATGCTGCATTGAAAGACAAGGAACTCATGCAATGTTATTCAAAATGGGTGACCCTGGAGGACATTATGCTGAGTGAAGTATCTCAGTCACAAAAGGACAAATACTGCATGGTACCACTGTTGTAAAACAGGACTGACCTTGGGGTTGGAGAGAGACTGAGAAAGATGGGTTCAATAATGTATACTGCATTGAAACAGATGAGGGAGAAAACTGTTTAAAAGGGATATGTGATTAAGTATTTTTGTCATGATAGGAGTCTAGAGCGAAGGCTACATGGTGGAGTGGAGCTGGGGGAAGGTTTATAAAACAATGAAAGAATTTGTCTTTTACTTTTCCATGAGGTTAGTGTACTGGGGGGGAGGGTTGGGAGGGGAGAGAAATGCAACAATAAATGAATGGAAATCCAAAGTCTCTGTAAATTTTTACTGAAATTAATAATAAATTTAAATTAAAAAAGATCCCTATCTATAACCATTCAAAAAAAGATGAGCCAATAGAATGCAGAAATTATCAAGCAATATTATTAATATCACATACAAGAAAAATCCTGCTAAAGATTATTAAAAAATAGGAGAACAGTGCTCGCTTCGGCAGCACATATACTAAAATTGGAATGATACAGAGAAGATTAGCATGGCCCCTGCGCAAGGATGACATGCAAATTTGTGAAGCGTTCCATATTTTTGCAACAATAAATGAATGGAATTCCAAAATCTCTGTAGATGGTCATTGAAATGAAAAATAAACTAAATTAATAATAAAAAAAAAAATAGGAGAACAGTACACTGAAAGGGAACTTCCAGAAATTCAAGATTCAGATGAGGAATATCATTGCTGTTATCAGATGGCTCCTGGCTGACAGTAAGGAATACTAAATAAATGTTTACTTGTGCTTTATTGATTATGCAAAGACATTCTTCCATGTGGATAATACTAAAATATTAACATTGAAAAGAATGGGGACCCCAGGTGAACACTTAATTTTTGTGCTCATGCAAAACTTCTTTATGGACCAAGAAGCATCATTTGAGCAGAACAAGGGGATACTGAAGAGTTTAAAATCAGGAAAGGTGTGTGACAGGCGTTTATCGTTTCTTCTTATCTGGATGCTGAACAAATAATCTGAGAATCTGAACAATATGAAGAAGAAAGTGGCATCAGAATTGGAGGAAGGTTTTTCTGTGATTTATAAATGATACAAACTTGCTTGCAGAAAGTGAAGAAGACTTGAAGCATTTATAGCAAATGAATATCAAAGACTAGTATGGCCTTCAGTGTGAATTACACTTGAACATCAAAACCCCACAAATCCTTACCACTGAGCCAATAGACAACATCGTGATAAATGGAGAAAAGACTGCAGTTGTCAATTATGTCATTCTACTTGGATCCATAATCAACATCCATCTATGCCACAGCTGTGAAGAAATCAAAAAGACATACTGCATTGGGCAGATATGCTGCCAAAGACTTCCTTGCTAAAGAGCAGGAATGTCACTTTAGAAACGAAGATGTCTTTCTGTTTATCTGGGCCTTTACCTTTTTCAGTAATATTTCATAGTTTTCAATGCATGAGTATTCCACCTCTTTGATTAACTTTATTCTTAAGTATTTTATTCTATTGATACTACTGCAAATGGGAATGTTATCTTAAAAGTATTCACTGCTAATGTATAGAAATGCAATTGATTTTTGGGTGGTGATCTTGTATAGTAAAACTTGGCTGAATTTATTTATTAGCTCTAATAGTGTTTTTGTGGACTTAGGATTTCCTGTATACAGGATCAATGTCGTCTTTTCCTTGTCCCTTTTTTATTTTGATGCCTTTTATGTCTTTCTTGCCTAATTGCTCTGGCCAGAATAAGCAGATTTGAACAGAAGCAGAGAAAGTATCTTGTTCCTGATCGTAGGAACAAAGTATCCAGTCCTTCACCATTGAATATTAACTCTGGGTTTTTCCTAGTTTCATCATGTAGAAGATGTTCCAGGACACTCCTAATTTGCTGAGTGTTTTTACTATAAGTATATATTAAGTGACTTTTCTATAGCAATTGGGATAAACACGTAGGGGTTCCCCCCTTCATTCTATTAATATGGCCTTGATTGATCCTTGAATGTTGAACCATCCTTGCATCCCTGAGATTAATTCCACTTGGTCATACTTTATAAGCCTTTGCATATGTTGCTGGGTTTGGCTTGCTAGAATTTTGCAGAACATTTTTACTTCCCAGGTAGTTTTATCTCCAAATAATGGTGTTAACTCTGGGTTTCTCCATAGACTTATTTTATCATATGGAGGAAGTTTCTTGCTATTCCTAGTTTGCTGAGTGTTTTTTTTATGAATAATAATAATGTTTTTATTATGAATAGGCATTGGATTTTATCAAATTACTTAAATATTAATTGGGATAGCCATGTAGGTTACAGTTTCTTGGTAATGAAACAGAAATAAGCCATATTTCATCTGAATAACAATTTGGGTTTTTTTTTAAATTTATTAAATGTTATTAATTTTAATGAACATTTACAGAGATTTGGGGTTTTCATTCATTCATTGTTGCAAGAATAACAATTTTGTGATCTTGGGTGATTTTACTTTCCATCTAAACCTTAGTTTCTTTATCTGTGAAATGTATTCATAAGGAATATCCCCCCTCATAATGCTTTTGTAAGGACTGTATGGATTCTGGCAACAGAGTCCTACTAAGATCTAAACATTACCACCACTTCTAAGGTTTCCCTCTTGCCCTACCCCAACCAAGAAATAAGTAGTGTTCTGATATTCCCACCCGACTTAAGTTTTGCTTATTCTAAAATTTGATGTAAATGGAAGCATTAAGAGCATAGTCCTCCAAGCAGCTAGGTCTGCCCAAGACTTTAGATATAAGAGGCAATTTCAGGAGGCAAGTCTGAACAGCTGAGGCTAACTGTGACGGTCCGCATGGACTCCCTCGGGTCAAACAATTCACTAGAATGACTCACAGGACAGGACATAGGACATGCTAGAATTAACAATTACAAATCAGAACCAACCAAAGGTGATGGGACACACTTTGTGCACATGGTGTTGCTGACCCAGGACACTCACCTGAGGCTTTGTATCCAGTTATTTACTGGGGTTTTATTCCCGAGGTATGACTGATCACCATTCAGATGCTTGGACTTAAATCTCCAGCCCCCTCCCCAAACCCGAGCTCTTGGATGCTGTCACTTGACTCAAAGCATAAGGAATCTGATGTCTGGTTGGTCTTCCTGGTGTGGCCAGCAACCCATTTGTGCGTCATCTCCTTTTCATAGACACTATCAGATGTGGTCCAAAGGGCAAAGCATTAATAACCAATACACTCCAATCCCTGAGGAAAGCCCAGGATTTAAAGGTCACTTCCAAGGAACTTGTAAGTTCTTTAAAGTCACAGTGGGTTACATGTTGGCTGCTCACCAAAAAGAATGGCAGATGGAGTCTACTAACCACTCTACAGAATAAAGACAAGGCAGCTTGTCCCCTTAAGCTTTATAGCCTTGGAAACTTGATGAGGGTGACCTTAAACTGGAATGAACTCCATAGCAGAGGGTTTGGTCTTAGGAGCTGGAAACAAAGTACAGCCAAAATTTTTTTTCTTAATTTTAACGAAAATTTACAGAGACTTAGGGTTTCCAGTCTTTCATTGTTGCACTTTTCTCCCTGCCCACTTCCTCCCCCCCAATTCACTTTTATCCTTGAAAAGTAAAAACCTTTCATTGTTACACAATCCCTCCTCCCAAGTCCACTCCACTGTGCAGCCTTCAGTCTGTACTCCTGTCATGACAATAATACCCATTCATATGTCCCATTTAAACAGTTCTCTCCCTCATCTGTTTCAGTGCGGTGTCCATCATTCCTCCCCTCCTTTTCTGCTTTCCCTCAACCCCGATGTCAGTTCCATTTTACAACAGCGGCCCTATGTAGTATTTGTTCTTCTGTGACTGAGATATTTCACTCAGCATAATGTCCTCCAGGGTCATCCATTTTGCATAATATTTCTTGAGTTCCTCGTTTTTCAGTGCAGCATAGTATTCCATTGTGTGACTATACCACAGCTTCTCTATCCATTCCTTTGTTGATGGGTTAGGGTTGTTTCCAGCTCTTTGCTATTGCGGACAAAGTTGCAACAAACATGGGTGTGCATCCAAATTTCTTATTATACACGCAGCAACCTCATGAACAACAGATCTGAACCCCGCCCTGCCCGGTGCCCTCCCCACCATCTCATATATTGAGCCCCTTGTTAAAGTCACTGTGTCAGTCCGTCTTGAGTGCCCTCCTCTCTAACGCTGACCTTCCACCTTTGTAAGCATGGTGTCTTTTTCCAAAGACTGACCCCTTTTAACATTTGTATATCCTTTTCTGTCTGGCTTCTTCCACTGGAGGCTGTCATTTGTAATCCCCTCGTCGTGGAACCATGTTCATAGCCCCCAGCATCCAGGGGCTGGAACGCCAGGCCCCCTGAGTCCGGGGGGCCTCACCGCGACTCTGACCCCTCCGGCTTCTTCCTCCAGGGCGAGAGGCTGAGCCATGCGGTGGGCTGTGCGTTCGCGGCCTGCCTGGAGCGGAAACAGAGGCGGGAGAAGGAATGCGGGGTCACCGCCGCCTTTGACGCCAGCCGCACCAGCTTCTCCCGCGAGGGGTCCTTCCGCCTGTCCGGAGGTGGGCGGCCGGCCGAGCGAGAGGCCGCGGACAAGAAGAAAGGTGGGTGCTGCCCAGAGCGGGGCGCGGGGCGGGCCTGGGGCCCGCTGCAGAGGTGCAGGGACTCAGGTTTACAAAGTGCAGCAAGACTCAAAGTGTTATTCCTTAAAAAGCTCGTTTCCGTTGAGGGAAGGCTTTCAGAAATGTCGCGCTGCTGAGAAATCACGGTCCAGTGCACCAGGCGGTGGTCCGGGCCTCGCGGGATTTCTCATGCAGCACGTGAGTTGGACGAAGGTCCCGGATGGCGGAAGCCGTGGCGTGAGTTTGGCGAAGGTCCGGGATGGCGGAAGCCGTAATGTGAGTTTGGCGAAGGTCCCGGATGGCGGAAGCAGTTGGCAGCCCCTGGTGTTCCGAGACTCTCCTCTCCGCTCCTCGGCAGAAAGGTCTGGCGATCTGCTTCTGTCCTGATCCCTTTTGTTGGCTGCTATGAGCCCCTGACTCAAGATGACGCCCTGTGAAAAAGTACGACTGGGCCATCAGACTTTCTCGGCTGTGGACTTTACGAAAGCAGATCACCAGTTTTTCTGCCATGGAGTCGCAGTGTTTTGCTGGGACTGCCAATCTTTCTGTTGGCAGCCAGTGCCAAACTAATTGTGCCACCAGGCTCCTCCCTAGAGGTTACAACCGAACAATTCATGAAGCTGCTCTACTCATAACCGGGGTCTCAATGAGTGGGAATCCACTTCTTGGGCTATGGATGATGATGATTAATTATTTTAATCAATGCCTATTAGTGGATTGTGAATTCAGTTTGCTGGGTTGTGACATTCAAAAAACAAACCAGTTCAGTTCATTGCCATCAAGTCGGAATAAATTTATAGCTGTAAATCGTACAGGAGATAGCCCATCTTTCTCACACTGAGCCGCTGGCTATTGTTTGACTGACAGTTGAGGCACAGAGATGAGTTCTGTTCCAGACTTGAAGATTGACGAGGGTTCATCGCCTTGAGGGTGCCACCAGTCTCTATTAGATGAGTGACACTGGTCTTTTAAATGATCTTGAGTCATTATCCACATTTCCCCTTTCTATCCAGAACCCTCTATTGTGATTTATTTAAAAGCAGTCAGCTTTGATATCTGGGTACCATCTTGTTCTTCTGGTCTCAGTTATAATCCTTTTTAAAAGTTCGTTACAATGCATTAAACATTATATCATTTATATCATGTATTAGAATTTGTAACACATTTTCTTGGTGGTAAAACAGGAAGGTGCTTACTCTTTAGAATAACTACCCATATAAGGCAGCAGCAGTTCATTTTGTTGTCACCACTCAGCTAGCTGGATAGCACCTAATAGCAACAGACTACAAAGTGCAGTTGACAGAGGGCACATACCATGTTCAACTGTTTACAGAGAAGACGTCCACATTCCTTCTAACTCACATTTTTTCATAGGATGTTAGAATCTGTAAAGCATGTTGTCAAAACACATCACAAGGTTTACAAAAGATTACACTACTGCCAAAGGATATTAAAATTTCTAGGTACTTTGTATTATGCAAAGCACTCTCCTCTTTTGTACAGCATAGTGAGTGTTTATAAAATGAGCATTTACAACATGATTTGTGTTGCATTTGTCCACTGATTTGTAGTTTCAAGACATAACACTTTATTTAAAAATTATGATTTGTGAGGAAGAGTTTGTTTTCCATTCAGCCATTCATGCACATTTTGCTTTATGACACTAATTATAATCTCCACATTGTAAAGCATTCTTCCCACTAGGACAGTGCTTTTTCCTATTTACTTTAGGCGACAACAATGGAAAGGTGCTTTGTTTTTGTTGTTATTTGAATGAAAATTTACAAAGTAAATTAGTTTTTCATTCAACCATTTATACAGAGTTTGTTTGAGAACATTGATTACAATACTCAAAATGTAACTGCACTTTTCCCACTCCCTCCTGCAATTCTCATTTCCATTAATTCTTCTCTCCTACTCTTTCCTGTTATTGGACTCTCTCCTTGGGCAAATGCTGCTCTTTTCACTTTGTTGTTACGTGCCTTCGAGTTGCTTGCGACTCATAGTGACCCTCTGTACTCTAAACCCTGCTCTATCTTGTGCCAGTCGCACTGCCTCTGACACACCCATCCCGATTACCCCAGTCACTGAATCACTCCACCTCATAGAGGGTCTTCCACTCCTGCGCTGTTCCTCCACCCTCCCAAGCATGATATCCCTCTCCAAGAACCGGTCCCTCCTTACAACATGTCCAAAGTATGTCAGACGAAGCCCCAGAATCCTTGCCTCCAAGGAGCAGCCTGGTTTAACCCTCTCCAGCATGAATCTGTTTTCTTGGCAGTCCATGGTACACTCAATATTCTTCTCTAATACCAAAGCTCAAAGGCATCAATTCTCCTTCTATCCTTCCTAGTCATTGTCCAACTCTCTGATGCATAACAAGTTATTGCAAAGACCATAGCCTGTATCAGACACACCTTAGTCTCCAGAGTGACACCATTGCTCTTCAGTACCCTGGAGAGGTCCCTAACAGAAGACTTTCCCATGGCAATACGTTTTTCTATTTCCTGGATACTGGTGCCAAGAGTGTTGACCGTGGAGCCAAGCAGACTAAAGCTGTGAACAATCTCAATCTCTTCACCATCCATCCTGATGCTGCCAATTGGTCCAGTGGTGAGAATATTTGTCTTCTTGACATTGAGCCTCAATCCATATTGTAGGCTGCAGTCCTTGACACTCTGCAGCAGGCGCTTCAGGTCCTCTTCAGTTTCAGCAAGCAGGGTTGTGTCATCCACATAACGCAGATTGTTGATAGATCTTCCACCAATCCTGACCCCACATTTCTCCTCATAGAGCCCAGCCTCTCGGGTAATCTGTTCTGCATACAGGTTGAAAAGGTATGGAGATTGGACACATCCCTGGTGTACGCCCATCCCAATTTTGAACCATGCAGTGTTTCCCTGCTCTGTTCTGAAGACTGCCTCTTGGTCCAAGCATAGGTTTCGCATTAGCACGATCAAGTGTTCTGGGATTCCCATTCTTCTCAGAGTCAGCCACAGTTTGTTATGATCCACACAGTCAAACACCTTTGCAAATGCCTTTTCACCTTACGTGGTCGGTTATTCGGAGGTCTGACTCCTTAGTGTCACTGGTCATCTTACAGGCCTCTCTGTTGTTTGGCTGAAAGTTGAGCCATGGAGGTGAGTTTGGTTCCAGGTTAGCAAGGTGCCTGAGGACCACAGTCCCGAGGGTTATACCAGCCTTTATCAGATCAATCTCGTGGTTTTGAGGGGTTTTTTTCCACATTTTTCTCACTCCGTTCAGGATCATCTACCATGATCCCTTTGAGAGTGCTCAGTGGTGGTAGCCCGGCACCATCTAGTTCTTCTGGTCTCAGGGTCATGAAAGCTGAGGTCTCATGGTCTGTTAGTCCATTGAACTAATTGTTTCTGTACATCTTTTCCTTTTCTCCCCTCTTCTTTGTTCAGGACAGGGAGAGACCCATAGTTGCACCTTAAAATGCTGTTTGCCACCTTTTCTTTTTCTTTTAAAAGCCAAAGTTTCTTTTTACTTAAAAATGCTCAAAAGAGTTTAAAAAGTCCAAGGACCAAAGGCATCCAGGTTTAATAAAGCTTCCAGCGAGGTAGTGGTTTTCTGTTCTGCTGCTGCTTCAGCTTTAGTTTCAAGTTCATTCTGGCCACTGTGGTGCCTTGGAATTACTTCCAGATTGAACCTAGACAATTCTTCTAACTCCCCGTATTCGTAAAAGCCCGTCTCAGAAAAATATGGAACACTTCATGGATTTGCGTGTCATCCTTGCGCAGGGGCCGTGCTCGTCATCTCTGTGTCGTTCCAGTTTTAGTATGTTTGCTGCCCAAGGGAGCCCTGCTGGTCATCCTTTAAGACCCAGTCGTTACTCATGGAAGCAGGATGTAGATAATCATCTTTGTGGGCTTTGTTATACGTGTTCACCTTGACTGCCCTTCTAAGGCCACAGGACCAACAATTCTCCCCAAGCTGTTTATGTTTTGTTATGTTCCTTCAAGCAGACTGCGAGTCACAGCAACGTGATGGACAACAGATCTGAACCTTGTCCTGACTACACCTTCCCCAAGATCGTTGATGTGCTCACGCACACTCTTACATAGACACAGTCTCTCTCTTTTTTTAATAACATCATTTCTTTTTTTATTACACATATGGTTTTTTAATTATTATTAATTTCAATGAAAATGTACAGAGGCTTTGGATTTCCATTCATTCATTGTTGCACTTTTCTCCCCACCAACCCCTCCCCTCAGTACACTCCCCTTTTGGAAAAGTAAAAGAAAAATTCTTTCATTGTTTTACAATCCTTCCCCCCCAGGTCCACTCCACTATGCAGCCTTCACTCTGGACTCCTGTCATGACAAAAATACCTAATCACTTAGCCCTTTTAAACAGTTTTCTCCCTCATCTGTTTCTATGCAGTATACATTATTGAACCCAACTTTCTCAGTCTCACCCCAACCCCAGGTCAGTCCTGTTTTACAACAGTGGCACCATGCAATATTTGTCCTTTTGTGACTGAGATACTTCACTCAGCATAATGTCCTCCAGGCTCACCCATTTTGAATAATATTGCATGAGTTCCTTGTTTTTCAATGCAACGCAGTATTCCATTGTGTGAATATACCACAGCTTCTCTATTCGTTTATTGATGGGCAGTCTCAATCTTTTACAAAATTGTTTTAACTAGATGATTTTTTTTTCTTTTAATAAATACTAAACCATTTCTCATTAACTTCTTCATCTGAGTAACCATCTAAGAGGCCCTGGTAGCACAGGGATGCTCATCTCAGCTTTAAAGTTGGGGAGGGGTCTCGAGGTGATGGAAATGGTTAAAGTGCTTAGTTGCTAACTAAAAGGTTGAAGGCTTGAGTCCATTTAGAGGCACCTCAGAAGAAAGGCCTGACAGTCTGCTTTCTGAAAAACCAGCCGCCAGGAGCCTATGGGCACAGTTCCATTCTCACACACTTGGGGTCATCCATAAGCCAGAATCAACTCACTAGCAACTGGGTAAAAAAAAAAGATAACAAAAGTAGTTGGGAAAACTGGAGCCCAGAGAGGGGAGGGATACTTCCTGAGGTCACCGTAAGGTGGAGGCAGAGGTGGCTTCCTGGCTCCACCCTGTCTCCTGTCCTAGGCTGTTTCCACTGCTCCGGGCCAAGCCTGTGTGTGGAAGCTGGGCTGGGAGGCTCTCCTGAGCTTAATTCCATCAGCTTCTCAGCTGCAGCTCGGCTGAGGCCCCAGCAGGAGAACAGGGAGGAAAGTGGGAGGATGGATGTGTGTTTGTGTATTGGCAGAGGTGGGTAGGACTTTGGCCTCTTTGTTAAGAGAAGAGACCAAGTTTCCCCCCAGAGTAAAGCAGTTTCAGAGTGGAGGGATCTGCGCCTGAGGTGCTGGAACAATCTAGAAAGCTCCTCAGAGGATGAAGTGTGGCTGGAGGGACCAGCAGCACGTGCGAGAAGGGAGGAGGTACTTGAAGAAAGAAGAGAAGTGTGAAGGGAACCAAGAAAGGAGGGACAGTGAGAAGACAGCTTGACAGGGGAAGCTGAGTCAGAGGCTGAGGCAGCTCTTCTGTAGCATAGATCCTAGTCGGTCAGCTTCCCCTTTTCCTTCTGTTGTGACTGTTGCTGGGCCTTAGTTTCCACACTGATGAAATGAGGGTAATGATAGTGCCTGCTTTTGAGTGTTGTAAGGATTGCTGCTTGATCTTACAAAGCATTTAGAACACACCCAATACAGTGCTTATGTACGGATTAGGTATTGTCCTTGGGTGCCACCAAGTTGGCTGCAACTCACAGACCTTAATGAACACCAGATGGGACAGTGCCCTGCCCTGCGCCATCCTCACCCTCTCATGTGCCCGTTGTTACAGTTACTGTGTCAGTCCATCTTGCTGAGGCTTTTCCTCCTGACTCTCTACCTTTTCCAGCACGATGTCTTCTTCCAAAGACTGGCCGCTCCTGAAAACATGTGAGATGATACATGTCTCACATATGGGCCAAAATATGTGAGACAAAGTTTCACCACCCTCGGCCCTAAGGCACACCCTCATTGTGCGTCCTCCAAGGCAGACTTGCTTGTTCTTTTGGTCGTCCGTTCATCACAAGTGGAGTCAGCAGAGGAAAACAGACAGACAACCTCGTAAGCTAGACAGACAGCACAGGTCAGGTTGGGGAGGATTCCCCAGCAGCCTCTTGGAGAGAGTGGTCTTGGCTTGACTGGGGCAGGAGAAGGCTCCAGAAGCCGTCTTGTCCTGAGGGTGTGGAAGTCAGCCTTGGGGAATGATCAGGCTTGAATGCTGAGGGAAGGTATCTAACCAGTCGTCTCTCTGTGTCTCCAGCAGAGGCAGCAGCTGCCCCCACTGTGGCGCCAGGCCCTGCTCAGCCCGGACATGTGTCCCCGACACCGGCCACCACCTCCCCCGGGGAGAAGGGGGAGGCAGGCACCCCAGTGGCTGCAGGCACCTCTGCAGCAGCCATCCCCCGGCGCCATGCCCCCCTGGAGCAGCTGGTTCGCCAGGGCTCCTTCCGTGGGTTCCCTGCGCTGAGCCAGAAGAACTCCCCCTTCAAGAGACAGCTGAGCCTGAGGCTGAACGAGCTGCCTTCCACGCTGCAGCGCCGCACTGACTTCCAGGTGAAGGGCACAGGTGAGCCTCTGTCTCTGTGAGGTGCACTGGGATCCATTAATGCTGTCTGCTGCTGGCAAGGAAAACAGGAAAAGTGGCACACACCAATTACTGATGTCTGACCTGGGCAAAGGAGATAGCAGATGGAATACATCATCATCAATTAACAATGTCTGCCACAGGCACTGTTGTAGATGAGGGTGGGACAAATCATGATGGAGTATTAATATATAGTGTGTCAGGGAAGCCTGCTCGTGAGAAAGAAAATCAGCACAGATGCCATGTTTTTGCTGAGGAGGAAACTGAGGTACAGTGACATGTAGTTTCTCCAAACCTTTGGCCAGTAGAGCCGTTAAATCTGTCTCAGAGGAAAGGTTTATGGTGGATTAAGGGTTCCTATTTTGGGCAGGGAAACTAGAGCTGCAAAATGTATTTGGATCCTCTAGTAATGTCTGCCATGAGCAAGAGAAGGGAAAGAGGTGGCTCGCCACAAGGATAAAGAGCAGAGTTTGTTTTGGGCAAGGATGAAAAGAGAATAGCTGGAACACTAGGGGTTTGTCAGAGGAAAGACTCCCACGGGTTGACCAGTGAAGAAACAAGAGGTGAAGGGCAAAGGTGAGCCTAGGAATTGAAGGGTTGAGGAGCATTGTGATGAGTTAGGAATTGTGGTTGTGGGGATTGGATTGAGCATAGGCAGTAAATACACACTATCATTAGTTAACCTTCCAGAGACAGTAAAAACAAAGAAATAGCCTGATTGATGAGGAGGGTCTGAGTGGAACAAGGAGAAAGGCAGTCTCATTGTTCTGTTTGTTTGAAGGAGTGGTGGAGTTAAGAAGACCTGCCTTCTCTTCCTGCATTTGATCTGTAGAGCCAGGAGGTTTGGCTAAGTAAGCAGAGAGCTCAGTGGGAAAAGGAACATGTTTGATTAGTAATGTCTGCCATCAGCAAGGGAAAGGAAACCAGAAATCCAGACCCATTGCTATTCAGTCATTTCCGATTCTGCTCTCACGTGGCAGCCCAGGTGTGATAGAATAGAACTACCCTGGAGGTTTCTCTTGGCTCTGATCATTATTGAAGCAGATCGCCAGGTCTGGTTTCCACTACATCTCTGGGTGCGTCCAAACTACCAACCATCAACGTAGCAATTGAGCACAAACTACCGCTCAAACCGATCCTGTTGCCACCAAACCACTTCTAGCTCGCGAAAGAGGTGGCATATGTCATGAATTCAAAGCTTTGTCGGCCATGGATAAGGGACAGGAGAGAGGTGGTTATGGGACTGTGCTTTTACCGACGGGAGAAAGCAGTAGTTGGGGAGGTGGTATGGTGTGCCACCTCCCCACTGCCCTGCTCCCAACCTGAGCCTCCCACATCTCTCAGCCTCAGGGCTGGTGTGGGAGGGTGTCGATCTGTATCCAGGAGGCAGGACTGTTCCAAAAGGTAACAGTTGAGCAGCTTCCAGAGCTTGCTGAGAATGACGCACACTTGCTCATGTCCTGCAGCATCCCTTGGCCCTCACCCACCCCCGGCTCTGCTGCAGATGCACCTGCAGGCCTCGCACAGTCCAACACTGAGCACATGCTCCCCAGGAGGTGACGGGCTCCCGAGCTGCACGCACACTTAAATGCAATGTGCCCCCAAAATTCCACAGACCCAGCTGCCTCACTGTCACGTGGGGCCAGCACACATTCAGAAGTAGCAAGCCCAGATTCACATACATTCAGATCCTGCACCCTCAGCTGGCACACACACTCAAAAGCCTCACACTCAGCTGTCCTGCACACACCCAGAGGCAAATACATACCGAACACAGCTGGGTCTGTGCACGCTCGTAAACCACAAATCCTGCGCACACACACAGGTGTTAGAAACCGGCCTCCCTCATTCACCCTGGCTGTCTCACGCCAGCTCACCACGCACCTGGCCTCCAGCTGCACTCAGGACACCAGCAGCCCCTTTTGTGCTCTCACGTACAGTCATCCTTGGTGATCTCAAGTGGCGTCTGTCTTCCCATCCCTGCTTGCTCCATAGCTTGTTTAATCTCTTTTATGTCTCAGAAGAGATCAATTTAGGACACACCCTATGCTAACACTGCCTAATTAATAACAAAAACAGCCCAATTCCAAACGGGTGATAGCCACAGATATAGAAGATAGCATTTACAACACCTTCGTGGAAACACAATTGAATCCATAACAGTGTGCTTAAGTAAGTTCAGATATATTGTTAACCATTTTTAATATTTATCCTGGCTGTGGGCACACAAATCTTAAGGTCCTTGGTTCTGGCTCCACTCCACCATTGTCAGCTGCTGGATGTCATACTGTACACGTGACTGCTATACCACTCAGGTGTCACATATATACTCACAAAGTTACCATTTTTTGTGGCCTTAGTGACTCAATTACTAAAGAATGGACCTATGAACCTGAGAGGAAAAGGACCCTAGGCTGTGAGAGCAGGCCACCCAAGGGTGAGGGGTCAAAGGCATGACTGGAACAGGGCCTGGGATACTGACTCGCATTCCATTCCCTGCTTCCCAGTGCCGGAGATGGAGCCTCCTGGTGCCAGTGACAGTGATGGCATCAATGCTTTGTGCACTCAGATCAGCTCATCTTTTGCAAGTGCTGGGGCACCAGCACCAGGACCACCTCCAGCCACAACAGGTAAGTCCAGTCTATCTCCTGGGTGGCTACCCTGCTGTCTTTCATTTTCCCCTTCATTCAGAGCTACCTTACAGGCTCCAGGAATCTTGGTTTCAAGCCACAGGGTCCTCTTGTTATTGTGTTGAATCAGAGCTGACCCTCCAGTGGGTTTTCAGAGGCAGTTAATCGCACAGGAGGAGAGTTCCCATCCTTCCCCAGTGGAGCAGTTGGTGGATTTGAACTGTGTGCCTTTAGGATTGCAGCATATCTTCTTGCCACTAGGCCACCAGTGCTTATCTTCCCACCATGAGAAAACTGTGAGATTACATTGCTGTTGTTGTTGAGTACCATCGAGTCAGAGAACTGACTCATAGCTGACCCTCCAGTGAATCTCAAGGGAGCATTTGGTGGATTTGAACTATGTACCTAGGGATATTATAGCTAATGTTAGATGGATCTTGGCTGAAAGCAGGAAGTACCAGAGGAATGTCTATCTGTGCTTCATTGATTATGCAAAGGTGTTTGACTGTGTGGATCATAACAAACTGTGGCTGACTCTAAGAATGGGAATCCCAGAACACTTGATTGTGCTAATGAGAAACCTATAGTTGAATCAAGAGGCAGTCATCAGAACAGAGCAAGGAAACACTGCATGGTTCAAAACTGGGATGGGTGTACTCCAGGGATGTGTCCTGTCTCCATACCTTTTCAATCTATATACAGAACAGATCATCCGGTAGGCTAGGCTCTATGAGGAGAAATGCAGCATCAGGATTGTGTTATGCAGATGACACAACCCTGCTTGCTGAAACTGAGGAGGACCTGAAGTGCTTGCTGCAGAGAGTCAAGGACTGTGGTCTTCAGTATGGATTGAGGCTCAATGTCAAGAAGACAAGTATTCTCACCACTGGGCCAATTGGCAGCATCAGGATGGATGGTGAAGAGATTGAGACTGTTCACAGCTTTAGTCTGCTTGGCTCCACAGTCAACACTCTTGGTACCAGCAGCCAGGAAATTCAAAGCTGTATCGCAATGAAGAGCAATGGTGTCTCTTTGGAGACTAAGGTGCATCTGATACAGGCCATGCAATCACATGTTATGCGTCAGAGAGTTGGACAATGACTAGGGAGGATAGAAGGAGAATTAATGCCTTTGAGCTTTGGTGTTGGAGAAGAGTTTTGAGGGTACCATGGACTGCCAAGAAAACAAACAGATTCATCCTGGAGAGGGTTAAATCAGGCTTCCCCTTGGAGCCAAGGATTCTGAAGCTTCATCCGACATACTTTGGACATGTAAGAAGAGACCCGTCCTTGGAGAGGGACATCATGCTTTGGAGGGTGGAGGGACAGCGCAGGAGGGGAATGCCCTCTATGAGGTGGATTGATTCAGTGACTGGGGTAATTGGGATGGGAGTGTCAGAGACAGTGCGATTGGCACAGGACAGAGCAGAGTTTAGGGCTGTTGTACATAGGGTCACTATGAGTCACAAGCAACTCGACGGCACAGAACAACCACCACCTTTGGGTTGGCAGCACAGTTCCTTACCTCTAAACCTCAATAGCTCAAGATTATTTTAGAGCCATAGAATCACCCTGGGAACCTCAGCTTACCTTAGAACATGGAGTCACTTAGAACATAGAGTCACCTAGAACGTGGAGTCACCTTAGAACATGAAGTCACCTAGGAACATGGAGTCACCTTAGAGCATGGAGTCACTTAGAACATAGAGTCACCTAGAACGTGGAGTCACCTAGAACATGGGTCACCATAAAACATTAGAGCCGTGAGATCACCTTAGGACAAATGGTCACCTTAGAACACACGATCGCCTTGGAGCTATAGAGTTGATCGTCTTAAAAGCTTAGCATTATCTTAGAGCCAGAGATCACTTTAGTACATGTAGTCACCTTATAACCATGAGATCACTCTAGAATGATGGGATCCATTTTAGAACTTTCATATCTCGGAACCAAGAAATTTAGAAACCTGCAGCCCTAGAACCACTGGTATTTAAGCCTAACGATTAGAAACCATGGAGTCTGGGACTCTCACAGCTTTAGAGGAGTCCTCGCTGAGAAACCAGTACCATATTCTAGGCCTGTGTTAGAACCATGAGAGTGTCTTCAACTCTCAGTGCCCCCTGAGAACACTAGACTCTTAGAAAATGCGTACTTCATCACGCTAGTCATACTCCCTGAGAACAGCCCCTCCATCTGAGAATCTCAGACTCCTAAAACCATACATTCTCAAAATATGACAATCAGAGACAGTAACAGTGTTCAAAATATCGAAAAGCATGTGTAGACCAGAACTCGCTTGTTGTCAGCCCTGCTTAACCTTTTGAATCTTAAGGCTTCGGAAACTCAGAGTTGTACGTTCTGGTTGTGTACTGTCGAGTTGGAACTGACCCACAGCTGACCCTCCCGCGGTTTTCAGAGGCATTTAATCACACGGGAGAGATAGCCCACTAGCACCCCAAAACCTTTATGTGTTTCCAGCATGGTTAAGGCACTCGCCCATTCAGTACAGCTCAGGGGGCAGAGCTGGGCTCTCCTGCGGGTGGGCTGGCTTCAGTCTGTTCCAGTTACCTGTGGCATCCTAAATCCCAGCTGGGCTTCTGGCCACCACCGCCAGGCCCCTCACATGGCCCTTTTCCTCTCTCCAGGGACGTCTGCCTGGGGTGAGCCCTCTGTGCCCCCTGCAGCCACCTTTCAGCCTGGGCACAAGCGGACACCTTCGGAGGCCGAGCGGTGGCTGGAGGAGGTGTCCCAGGCGGCCAAGGCCCAGCAACAGCAGCAACAGCAGCAACAAGCGGCGTCGGGGCCCCCTGTGCCCACTCTACTCCCCTCCCTGCAGCCCTTCCCCGCGCCCATGGGCCCCTTTGACCCAGCCCCTGCCCAGGTGGCCGTGTTCCTGCCACCCCCTCACATGCAGCCCCCCTTTGTGCCCGCCTACCCAGGCCTGGGCTACCCACCCATGCCCCGGGTGCCTGTGGTTGGCATCACACCCTCGCAGATGGTGACCAATGCCTTCTGCTCAGCAGCCCAGCTCCAGCCCCAGCCAGCCACCCTGCTTGGGAAGGCAGGGGCCTTCCCTCCTCCTGTCGCACCCAGTGCCCCTGGAGGTCAGGCCCACACACGCCCCAATGGAGCTCCCTGGCCCCCAGAGCCAGCACCTGCCTCAGCCCCGGAGCTGGACCCATTCGAGGCCCAGTGGGCAGCATTAGAGGGCAAATCCACCACAGAGAAGCCTTCCAACCCCTTCTCTGGCGACCTGCAGAAGACCTTCGAGATTGAACTGTAGCCACAGCCCACCCCCTGACCTCCAGGTGTCCCCATGCCTGGGTCCTGCTTCCCAGGGCTGCGCCCCACAACACTCTAACCACATCTCTTTACGACCCCCACAATCAATCCAGAACCAACGTTGGAACTCCTAGGTGACAAGATGGCATTCAGGGGCAGGCCAAGCCTGGTTGCGGGGTTCAGCCAGGCTGTGCCCATTCCGCCCACCCCACACACAGGAATACTACAGGCCCACTCGGTTAAGCGACCTTTCTGTTTCTGTTGTTGACCTTCCAGTGTTGGGCAGGATAAAGGAGGGATGCCACCTAGGGGCCCCTCTGCCCTCACCCAGTGCTCCTGGGTCTGGTCACCTCCCCCCACGTACACAGCACAAGCCAAGGGCTGCTCTCTGCCCGCCCACTGCGTTCACTGCCAATGCTGGGCTCAGCCCTCTCACCCCCTCCCCATCTTTCTTGGGTCAAGGTCTCATGGGGGGACAGGGGCCAAGTTGGGGGCCCAGGAAGCAGGGGAGGGGGAGGGGAAATAAGCTGATGCTCAGTTACCTCATGTCTGTGCCCACTTGGAGTGGGGGCCTGGGCAGAAAGGGGAGGGGTGCCTGGCAGGTACTTTTTCTATCTTTTATTTCCAGATTTTTTTTTTATCTAAACTTGCAGATTTGTATTATACAAGGACAGCCAATAAAGGAAGAATCTAATCGTGATGCTCGGGAGAAGCTGGGTGTGTGTCTGGGGGTGGGGGCAGGCTGTGGGCACAGGCTTTTCCTCCTGAGTCATCTACTTACGGGGGGCGCAGGGGGACCACCCCACGGCGTTTCCTGAGTCTTAGCTATGTAACAGCTAACGCTGACTCAGGACTTTGATGCGAAATGGTGCCAAAAGTAATCACCCTATTACTACTGTTCCTTCCAGATTTTGAACCAAGGAATAAAAAGCAAAAATTATAAGCTGCTGCTAATTATTTCAGTATTAAAGTATTAAATAATCAGGCTTGAAGTAGTTTCTCTTTGTGACTGGCAAATTCTTGTTTCCTCCATCACATTCTCCATTACCTCAGGCCAGCTGCGGTAGCAGATGGCTTAGCCCTGGTGCCAGAGTGAGTGGTTTGAAACGAAAGTTGGTTTAAATCTACCAGCCACTTGTAGGGGAAGGATGAACTATCTCCTCAGGTGGATGCGTACAGCCTTAGAGACCTGATGGGTCTTAGTAACTACGTGAGTCTGTTGGAATAACTGGCAGTCCAGCTCATGAGGACGTTTGCCTTTTTTGATGGCCCTCTACCTTTCCATTGTTATGTACCATCGAGCTGGAACTGATTCCTAGATGACCTGACCCTCCAGTGGGGGTTTCAGAGGCTGTAAATTGCATGGGAGGAGATTAGCCGGCTTTCTCCGTGGAGCAGCTGAATCGATGCCTTTGAAGTGTGGTGTTGGTCAAAAGTATTGAATATACCACGAACTGTCAAAAGAACAAATATCTTGAAGGAAGTACAACCAGTGTTCTCCTTAGAGGCAAGGATGGAGAAACTTTGACTCACTCTAGGTATATTTTCAGGAGGAATCAGTCCTTAGAGACATCATGTTGGGAAAGGGAGAGGGTCAGTGAAAGAGAGGAGGACTGCCAACGAGGTGGACTGACTTAGAGACTCGAATCATGGCCTTGAGCATACAGAGACGAAGATGGAGCAGGCAGGGCAAGGTTCGCGTCTGCTGTTGGCAGCAGCGCTATGAATTGTCAACCGGATGACACCTAACAGCGACACCTAGTTTTCTAAGCATGATGTCCTTTTCTGGGGACCAGCCCCTCCTGAGAACATGCACAATTATATAAAACAAAGTCACTTCTAAGCATTTTAGGTGTACTTTTCCCAAGCAGATTTGTTTGTTCTATTGTCAGTATGTGGTATGTTCATTATTTACCCAATACCATAGTTCAAAGGTGGTGAGTCTTCTTGGATCTTACTACTCATTATCCCACTTTCATAACCCATTTTCATGAGGCAAGTGAAAATACCATGGCTTTGCTCCAGCAAAAGTTAGTTTCCAAAGTGACAGCCTAACGTTTTAAGTCCTTGGCAGCAGATGATTTCTTGACTTCTGCTTCCCTGACTGTGGTTGTGGCTCCACAGAAAATTAAATTCCTTGACAGCTTTGGTCTTTCCCCCAGTTTTTTGGTTGTATCATCCATACTGAAGGCTATATTTTTTGAGCTTCATCAGTTAAGTGCTATAACCCGCATATGTGCATGTATGTTATCTATAGCTGTGTAGAATGAGATCATTGGTTTTGTCCCGCCCAAGATCATACCCAGTTTTGATAGATGGAGAAGTTGTGAGGGCAGGGCCTGATTTTGTCCAGGTCACTTCAGTGTCCCAGCACAAGGAGGCGCTCTTAGCTGTTAATGCTGGAACCAGTGAAGAGCAGGGAGGGTCAGAAAGGTCTAGGATTGGGATTCCAAAGCTTGCGAGCCCCACATGGCAGTGGCTTGATCCTAAACCTTGAGAGAAGCCACAGACAGGTTGTATTGCCAAGGAGTGTCTCAAATATTTCCAAGGTTAGATTGACAGGAATAAAAAAGAACCAAAGGCGGTCAGTACTGCTCAAGCCAGACTTTGCTGTTTGGTGGAATTGCTGAGGGTATCTTTTAATCTCTGTATGGAAATGTAGGTATATATTTCAGGTTGTTGTTGTGTACTGTTGAGTCGGAACTGACCCATATACGCTCTGGCGGGTTTTCAGAGGCAGTTAATCACACAGAAGATTGCCCAGCCTCTTCCTGCAAAGCGGCTGGTGGTGGCCTTGAACAGTGAGCCTTCGGGATTTCAGGACAGCTTCTTGCCACTAGGCCATCAGAGCTCCCTATATATTGTATGTGGAGTTCTAATGGCTTAGTGGTAAGGAGTTGTGCTGCCAACCTAGGGCAGTTGGTTCAAATCCACTAGCTATTCTGTGGGAGAAAGGCCACCTCCTCTCACATAATTGTACTGCCTCTGAAAACCCACTTAGAGGATCAGATAGTATTCGTTCATAGAGGGAAAATCGACCCTCTCTCAATACCATGTAGCATCTCACTACCATGTGGCATCCCTCTGGTTGATGGGGTAACCTCTTTTAAGCTTTCCATCACTACATCTTTGATCAAAGGGATGTTGCTATCAAAATATAAATGTAAACTCTCAAATGTTAAAAAATGAAAGGTCTAGGATTGGGAAAGCTGAGATTAACTCTCTCGGGCAGATGGGAGAGCTGAGGCAACAGAATCCAGAGGTGATCTGGGCACAAACTATTCTTCCAGACCACTGGGAGTCTTTCTCAGCCGCCCTACAACCCCATCTGCCCAGGATCACCCAGGCTCCTCTTATCCAAATTCCCAGAGGATGAAGACCCTACCTAGCTTTTCCTGTTCTGTTTTCTCCACAGAGACCATAGATCTCAGGTAACTCCACCTCCACTTCTCCCTTCTAGAAGAGCCTCAAAGAACAGGGAGTTAATGTCCCTTCTGCTCCGCCCTCCTAAGTGGATCCCATATGGTGCCCCACCCCCACCCCCACCCCACAAGGCCACACTGGGAACGTCCGTTGTCCGTGGTTCCCTGGACAACCGGGGCGTCTCCACGCTGGAACCGAACCATTTCCCGCTTGCGCCCCACACGTTGTCCCTTTCACATTTCGCTTGCCCCACTCTCCGAAGGAGCCCCGTTTCTCTGCCCCCTCCTCAAGCCGCAGTCTGTCCCCAGCAGTCCTTGTCCAGCACCGCGCCATGCTGGTGGGCCCGTCCCCGGGCTTCCACATGCCACCCCTGTGGCTGCGGTCTTTTTGAAACCATCTCGCACATGTCCCACATCTGGTTTCAGATCTCCCCCAACACACACCACACCCGTGCAGCTGCGCGCCGCAGGCCTCCCAAGCCGGGCAAGCGCGATGGGCTTAAACCACTCCCGAACACAGTACAACGGCACCCCCCTGTGGTTGGTAGTCTAGATAAGTGGACCTATGTGATGGTCTCTCCAAGACCAGCAGATGCCACACAGTTAGGTGTCCAGTAGTCTAGAAACCTTGCCCTATAATACGCCACCCTTAGCATCGCCACCAAGTTCAAGCTTATTATGAGAGTCACCGTGTCAATCTACGTCACTGAGCATCTTTCTGAGCCTGGTATCTTTTTCCAAGGGTCAGTGTCTCCTGGAGACAGGGATGGTGAAACTACACCTCACATATTCTGGGCCTGTTTTATGGAAGGGTGAGTCCTTGCAGAAGGGTATCTTAGAGAAGCGGAGGGTCAGCATGAGAGAAGAAAATCCTCAAGGAGATGGATTGACATAGCGACTTTAACAGTGAGCTTAAGTGTGTCAGAGATGATGAGGACGGCACAAGATAGGGTAGCCATTGTTCATAGGGTCATTGTGAATTGTAGTCGACTCGATGACACATAACAACAGTACCTTCAACCCTGATGCCACATTCTTCTTTATATAGTCCAGCTCCTCAAATTATTTTTTCAGTGCACACCCATGTTTATTGCGGCTTTGTTCACAATAGCAGAGTTGGAAACAACCCAAGTGAATGGATAGAGAAGCTGTGGTATATTCACACAATGGAATACTACACTGCATTGAAAAACAAGGAACTCGTGGGATATTATTCAAAATGGGTGACCCTGGAGGATATTATGCTGAGTGAAGTATCTCAGTCACAAAAGGACAAATACTGCATAGTGCCACTGTTGTAAAACAAGACTGACATCAGGGTTGAGGGAAGACTGAGAAAGAAAGATGGGATAAATGATGTATACTGCATTGAAACAGATGAGGGAGAAAACTGTTTAAAAGGGATATGTGGTTAGGTATTATTGTCATGACAGGAGTCCAGAAAGAAGGCCGCATAGTGGAGTGGAGTTGGGGGGAGGGATTGTATAGCAATAAAAGAATTTTTCTTTTACTTTTCAAAGAAAAGAGCGAATTGGGGAGACGGAGGGGTGGGCAGGGAGAAAAGTGCACCAATGAATGA